AACTGTCAGCTATACAAAGCCAGGGAGGGCAGAGTAAAAACACAAGTGAAAACAGACCAGATAAACAGGAGCAGCCTTGGCTGGTTATTCAAAGGCCTTCAGAGAAGCAGCCAATAGAAATACAGTAAAGGGAACCAGACAGAGCTTCCTGGAACACAGCCCGAGCCCTGTGAAACTATACCCTTGATTATCTGAGGGTTAACAAATCACCTCCAAGCTCAATATAGACCTCAATACGACTATCACATAGTGCTACAGCCAAATAGTACATTATTGTTCATGTTTGTTTTAACATGCTCTGAATACTAGATGGATGTCAGTATCAGTTCGACTGGGGAGGCCAATAATATATCAATCATATAAACGTTTTACATACTTTGGTTTCTTGGTGTACAGTCCACTAAAAATTGTTACATTACCAAATAACAGTGGGGTGACAAGTTAAACAAGATGTAGGGCTGCAACACATGCAACGTCTTTTACTGCCTGGAAAATGTTAAGTCCGACGCTGGGTGCTACCAAAGAGCTTACAATGATAAGAGGCAACACTACATTGGTTTGTCAATGCAACATCTGCACGCAGCCTCAGAGCCATTTTCGAATGAACGAAGGGCTCATATTTATAACAGAGATTTGCAAAATATGCCATGCAACTGGCAAGAACTGCTAGGAAATAATGTCCGAGGCAGCCATTTGATCTTAACATTTTCTCTTTCTTAACCTGCTTGTTGCCACACTACTGACACTGGTACTACTATTCCTTTGCAAATAATGGAACAATACCGCGTAAAATCATTCCCTCTTTATAAAGAACCACGTTTATACTGTGAAAGATGAGGAAACATTTGGATAAAGTTTCAGAAACAAGTGTATTCATTTTTCCACACATCTACTTTGACAACAATGGATCAGAGAGCACAAAAACACAGCATATGTCCAGGCCCTTCCAGCCTACAGCTTGCTAATGGCTCTGAGAGGCTATAAATGCTTATGCTCGCATGCTAAAATGCTAATAGTGGCAATAACAATGCCTGCTGATGTTTAGCATGTTCAGTATTTTAGTTACCATAAAATACAGAGCTGGAGCAGGGACAGGGTTGGGTTGGCCTAGCTTAGCATAACAAGGCAAATGACGCCATCATGTCTTACGTGGAAAACTTGGATTTTTCTAATTGTTCTGGTATAGACTAGACCAGTGGTTCCCAACTGGTGGGTCGCAGTCCAAAAGTGGGTGATGGTTCCATTCTGAATGGACTGCAAGTGACTCGCAAACATGTCAAGTTTGTCAAAAATACACTTCATTTTTCAGCACAATGAATTTACGGCACAAAACCTTTATTTTAAAGTGCCGTTTCCTGCTGTAGAGTGAGTGAACAGACAGAAATGGCAAACTAGCTCAACAACATGGCCAAACGTAAGTGTGATGCTAAATGTATTGAACTGTATGGACCTTGAACTAATGATCAAGGAGAAAACTAGAACCTGTGCTGAACCAGTTGGAAATCAATGGACTAGACCAGCCCATGCAGGTACTTGGCAAAATGTCAACACCATGCCCCTTTTTCACCACACCCTTTTTTGGGGGTATAGAAAACTTAAGATCCTAGAGATCCTGTAGATGTCAATGCAATTTGATGTGTATTTGAATTATAATAACAATTCTGACACGTTTTAATCACTTTATTTTTTGTTAAACCAATGTTTGTTTTGTAGACCAGTCTAATAACTGTTTTGCAACCTTGCCTAAACCTGAGCATTTGCAATACCTTTATAAATTAATGTTCAATACCGTTATGCCCTTTCAGTCTTCCCCAGCCACATGGTTCATGTGTGATACTTTGATACCAGTACCACAGTGATACAGTAGAAATGCCTGATTTTGTGTCTGTATGCAGTCAGAGATTGTCCTTTACTCAATTATCAGTCATTGTCAGGAATTATTAGGAATTCAAAAAAGTCACGGTAAACCAACAAATAAAATGAGTGCCAGCGATGCATGCTGGTGAGTACTGTCCTCGCTCCTCCACAGCTCCACCTTGTCGTCTAAATATGGTCACTTCTGGCTCCAAAAAACCAAGATGGTGATGGCCGAAATGCTGAACTTAAGGCTTCCAAATAAGAGTCCACAAACCAATGTGTGATGTCATTGTGGCTATGTACATTATTTCATACAGTCTATAGTGCTGGCTGAATTCAAGCACCGATTCTCTACCAACCTTCCCATATGAGATGAATGTGGTGTAAGAGTCTACAGCCACACTAGTGCCTCGGCGTGGCTGTACAGCACAGCAGTGATATGAGTTAAATGCTAACATTAGCATGCTAACATGATCGTAGTGACAATGCTAATGTGCTGATGTTTTGAAATGTTCACCATTCAAGCTTAGCTTGTTAGCATGCTAACACCTGCTAATAAACACTAAACACTGAGTTGATTGCTGTAAAGCACAGGACAAACACACAGCATGCTTGTGCTCTGTCATGCCAAAAAAAAGAGGTCAGAGTCAAGCTCTCTGAAGACAGCATTTGGGTGATAGTTGTTTTAAGTGTTTTTTTCTTACTATCAGTCTATGAATGTCAATGTGTCACAACATGTGGACACACATTTCCTGAGTGTCTAAAAAACAAACCTTCCTTCTTGTACAAAGAAACAATAGAGAAACAAAGATAAGAGCGATTCCATCTTGTCATACCGGCAAATAAGAAGTGCATTTCTGGAAAGAAGTGTCTCTGCTGCAGCATCAAATATTTTCCTGTGATTATATAATCCCATGGAACCTGTTGCAACATCCCAAGGGCTTAACTCCACATGTCCTGCATCTAAGTTGGATACATCAGTTCACAAAATATAACACTTGACCCAGATTGCTATAATTTTCATTATCAAGGTTTCAAAATACTTGGATGGCTGTTTGACATGGCACTGGGAGCCTGTTATAATTTAAGACTCCTCTCCAGAGAAAATCCACAATTTTTCACACCCTTCTTGACAGCAAAGCCGGACTTACAACTGATAACCTTCCAACTAAAACTGAGACAGTTAAACCTCTGAACAGATTCCTCATTTGCACAACTCAACCCCATTTTGACGAAGTGTGTGGTGGTTGTTTATCCACCAAAATGAGATATCCACCAACTGACAGCTCCTCGAACAAAATGATGAGTGGCGTGACAGAGATAACGTTTTAGGTTACTTGCTTTTGGCTACATAAGTTTCTTATAATCTTAAGAGTTTTGCTTAGAAATGTGAGTATATCACCACCCGTGTTGTTGTTGATGGTAACTGTGGCATTTCAGTGATTTTTTTTAACCATAAAATACATTGTGTAGCCAATATAGAGTGAATCCTGTTTATCTCTTGTCCTTGTTCTGGCTGAAATCATTAACTAAGCAACAACAAACACAAGAATTTCTTTACACACACTTTACAACAATCTGTTTAAATAGCTACTCGAAGGCATGGCGGTCTTTATCTCAGTCTTCAAACTGACAGCTCTACTGTAGTGGTGACAAAGCCTGACTATGAATATGTAATAAATATAACCAAAACCAGCATCACCTTGGGTTTTAATACACTTTAAATACCAAATGGTCTAAATGCTGTTTCAACTCATTTTTCCAGCCCAACAAGAGCATTTCCAAACTGTGCAACAAAGCACATTTTTGTATTCGAAACAATGCTGTTCATAGATGTGTCATCTGTTAACATTTCCGGCCACAAAAATGTTGCTGTGTTATACTTGGAGCCTTATCAATTGCAGCCCACAGGTATGAAACTGGGTAGAATGCATTGTATCATTTCATGCATTCCTTGGGATGGTCCCAGGTGTTTTTAGCATGTACTTAGCATTAATAATAATGAATTGTATATTGTCTGTTTCTGTTATATTTAAATGTAAAGCGGCCCTTTTTGCCTCCAGTGTCTTTTCTTTATTGTTGGAGCAGCAGCAGAGACCTGCACCTTCACCAGTAATGACCAGCAGTGGGTTTCAGTAGAGTGAAACCTGCATTTCAGCCAGAGTGGTGTTACAACAGTGTCCCCCGGTGGTGTAAAACAACCACTGTTTATACACATGCTTCGTTTTTACCTTGGTTCTAACCAGTGGTGGAAAAAGTATTCAGATGCTTGACTTAAGTAAAAGTACTGATATCACTCACTAAAAATACTCCACTGCAAGTAAATATCCTATATTCAAACCTTGCTTGAGTTAAAGTATGTAAGTATTATTTCAAAATTATGTAAATTATGAAAATTAATAGTAGTGGCGGTGCAGTAAAATGTTCCTTGTCAGTGTTTCCAAATCATATTTTTGGATAAATACTGTTGCATGAATGTGTATGCTGCATTTTACTGTTGTAGATGTTCAAGGCTGTGCTCATTTTAACTCCTTAATATGCTGTTGGGTAGTTTAATCTACAACAGTGCATCATATCCTGTAAGATCATCATATGTTTGTAGCGTGACTATCCTGTGAAAACCACACATCTCTAAAAAGTCAACCTTTCATGGGGTCAGAATAACAGCCCTATTTCCAGCTTTGTGATGAGGCATTTTCCAGCTGATCCAAGAGGGCTTTTAAGGACTTTATTTAGCACTTAGAGGAACACTTCATCCTTCAGTTTGTTGAATGTTGATGTACTACAAAAAATTTTGATAAAATAACTTCTACGCAAGACACTGTAGCTTATTGTCTAAATAATTCAATTCTTAAAACAAAAAGTATCGACTATCAGTTCGGATAATTACAGTTAAGTATAAGATGACTTGCAGTTTTTACAATTAAACTTTTATCTTTCATAGTGAAACTGCCGTATTTGTGTGTTGCTAAGAACTTTTTTCGCACTAATAACTGCAACTTTTGGACTGTCTTTGCACATACATGACTGATAACCACTGACTTGTGATTCCCATTTAAATGTCAGCATTTCATTCTGCACTGATGCACATGACAGTAAACTTGAACTGGTGGAGCAGTGTTGGAGAGTGAGACACAGCAGACCTGTTCTTTTTAGAGTGCTCGTCCTTCCCCTTCTTCACGCCAAAGATCCTTGTGATCAGAGTGCTGAAGAGAAGAGTGGAGGAGTTCCTAACCTGGGAAACAAAATAAAAACAGAATGAAGGAGAGTGTAAGACAGAGAGAGATTTGCAAATGGGTAAGTGCGTCTTGTCTGTCTTGTCCAGTGGTTCTCAAACATCTTTTTAATAATGTACCTCATTTGAAATATTTTCTCTGCCAAGTACCCCCTGACTAGCGCAAAACATTTTTGTAGAAAAAGTTTGTCTGATATACTAGACAATAACCTTGTACCTGACAAACACTTAAATAGTGCATTTCAAATGTTTAGAATCCGTCACTAAATTCAAGGCCAACTGTTTTGCCATCATGCAATAACACTGATGGCATTGTAGTTGCATTGAAACTGCATCTTTTTGATAAGTTGCACACAATTTAGTGATAGAATTATTTTAGGAATATGCATGACTGATATTTTTCCCGAAAAATATCCCACATATCCCCTGTAGTACTTCAAGGTCCCCCTAGGGGTATGTGTACCCATCTGAGAAACACTGATCTTGTCTACCTACATTGATATAAATGGGGTGGTCAAATATCAAAAACACCTCCCTGGGAAGGTGTTGGAGTGATAAACAAGGATACTGGCTGAATTCAAACAACAAAGACAAATAGAAAGACGGAAATGGAAACTCACTGCCCACACAGGAGAGGTGAAGCCCAGTACAGCAGCCTGCATCCCATCTGATACGAAGGGGATGATGTTTTCTCCCAGACGAGTGTCCCTGTATAGCGCCCTGAGGATGTTCAGAGCATGGACCTGCAGGCGAGGTAAACTGATAACATTTAGCCATTTAACAGAATGACATTAAGAATTTTTTTCAAATATCACCTGACCTGAAAAAGCATCATGTGGCTGCTGCAATTTCTAGAGCCTGCCTCATCAGTGCCATCCACTGTTATGATGGGTATGATGTATGTTGTTTCATTTTCAGAATGGGTCAATACTACACTGACTGCCTCCAGCCTTGAAAACCCCACTTTATTTGAATTTATAAAGTGGATTTTATGGGAAGGTGACCAGTGTATTTCGGATTAAAGCCCAGTTTGTCGAGAAAATAAATCTTCTAAGAAAGATCTGACTACATATAGGATTTAGGCATGAAGTTACTGGGTGATCGTACCTGAGGGACGGTGGAGCTGTCAGTGTTCCTGTCAGCAGAGGGCATGGCCAACGCGATCAGTTCTCTCACGGTCATTTTCAACAGACTGCAACTGGACGACTTGGGCTCAGAGGAGAGCAGAGCCTGTGGAGGCAAAATAAAAAGCGTCAAAACAAAACTGACTTGCAGCAGGTAGAAAAGAAAGGCATCAAAACACAGGTCATTGTGTGTGTTTACAGCACATGCACCTGTCAGACATACTAATATGATCCCTGTGTCTTCACTGCGTTTTGATTTTGTTAAAAGAGTACTCCATCAATTTAGCACAGCACTCTTATAACACTGTCGAAATTACAAAGGATAAAGATATCATCTTTTTACTCTAGCCATTCTTTTTCCTTGTCAAAATCTGGTGCCTACATTACCCACAATGCAAACTGACTGTTCAGTCGGACATTTGGGTGATTCAGATTATTTTCGTTTTCAAACTTGTAGTCTTCAGCCCCAGCCGATGCTGCTTCAAATTATGTCATTTTAGGCAGCGGTTGGTACCCAGCCACTGTGAACCAAAGCTTCAATAACAGTATGTGGAATAGTTATCAGTAGAAATTAAGTCTCAAAATTCCTGTATCCGATGCAATCATGATATTCATATTGTAAGAATATGTATATTTGCTCACTTTCTCATTGTGGAGGTCAGAAATATATTTTCTGAAGGTATAATGCTGTCATTCTATTTAAGTTCTTATGAACAAAGTAACAAATGAGAGGTGGCTGTATATCATCCGCACATTGTTAAAAGTCATTACACTACTGTATGGTGTACAATTTGGCACATTAGTAAGGGATTATGCCCGACAAGGAAAGAAATATATCATTCATAAATATTTCACTTTGCAAACAAAATTTTATCACCAGCCATAACTCAGTTCCCCTGATAACACCTAAAGGTTTGTCTAATGCCTGTAAAAATCATTACCATTCCATGGAAATGCTGTTTACTACTCTAGTAAACAGGAGGAACCTTGTATAGGACTTGGCAAAAGGAGGTATTTTTGGTCCGGTCAGTTTATAGAACCCTTTGGTTTGGCTAGGAGCCAGAGAGCTAGCGTTATGCTAGCAAGAGTCAAAGTCAATAACACTGCGTCAGTTGACAAACAGTAAATATAATTTGACAGTATGTTTAAAGTGGAACACCACTTAAATTAAAAAGTTCCAGTATGTTATTTTCAGGGGCCTAGGAAAGTTCAATCAACATTTGTGAACATGAGCTCTCTCTCTCTCTCTCAATTCAATTCAATTTCAATTCAAATGGCTTTATTGGCATGCGGTAACACTGTACATATTGCCAAAGCAAGCATTTGGAATTCAAAATAATAATAACAATAAAGGAAAACAATGTGGAACCACAGAGTGTTTGTTTTCTTTGTTTATACCCAAATTAGCTTTATACTATTGTAGTATTCTAAGTTCTGAATCAGAAAATGTACCCATATACTCAGAACATTCCCCTGGGTGCTCACAGTGTCCACTATAACATCTTTCAACATTCACTGTCCGTCAATTTTTACAAACAAGTGAATAACTTGTACACATCCAATTAGTTGAATAACTAACTGGATGTGAGATGATCGCAGATGTGATACAAAATATTACTTAGTTCAGAGGGCCGGTATACTTATTGCAGCTTGTGTGTTACAGTCTTCATCCTGTGGTGTTCGGAGGATGAGGCACTGACGAACTACACTGGAAACAAATTGTAAAGGGAGGCTTTGACTGAATCAATGTTACTACGGTTACTAATATTAGACACAGACTGACACTATGTAGCCAGGTCATCAATTTAAAACAGTGAATAGAAAGTCTCACTGGAACTTAGTAGGTGTCCTATATCAGGAATTAATGGACATCCTGCAGCCAATCAACACTGAGTTTTCAAGCAGACCATGGTATAAAGACAACTGATGCATTTGTTCCTGCATTACATAACAGGCGGCATGTACCGTCAATTCAGGAATTTAGCTTAACATCAGTCACTTTATTTCAATAAGTTAGTTCTGATTTGTTTTGTGGAAAAGTTGTTGTAGTAGACCTCTAAAGTGAACTTCATTATACCTATCACTGATTACAGTGGTATTTTATCACATGAAGACACAGCTATACCATTACATAAGTTTGTCTGTACTGATAGCTTCACCAAATGACATCATTTGTATGGGCCAGGACTGGGAGTTGGGAATGTGGGAGCAAGGAGGTGACAGCACTTGGCTGCTGTGTGAGAAAGGAGTTATCTTTCTGTGCAAGCTGATGGAAGCCAGCTGTGTGTCTGGCCTGGCTTATGGTAAAGAGTCAGGCCTGGGAGGGATGGAGAGATGGAGGATGGAGGTAGGGAGGAGAGCAGGAAGAGGGGAAGGAGGCACAGTCTGGCTCTTATGAACTCTTGGGGGGGTTGGGGTGGAGGAAGGTTAAGAGGAAGAGGAGGGCTAGCCCGGTCTCTGAAGTCTGTCCCAGGTCGATCCAGACCAGCATGAGGCGGGCGCAGGAGCCAGCCTTCCCGGATCTGACTCTGTCTTTCTATGTGAAAGAATGCAGCCCAAAGCTCTGCCAAGGTGTCGACTTCTGCTTCTCCCCAGACTTCCTCCAATCTGCCGGGCTCTCCCTCTCTCTCCTATATCATATTGCATCTGTCTCCCTTCATCCTCATCTTAAGGCATCCATATGTTTCCTACCATACTCTGCTCTGCTTTACTACTCATATCCTCGCTGTGTAACATAGTTGCTCATGGTATTTAACATATAATTTCCATAAAGTCCCATAAATAATCATTGATAAGCATGTCTCTGCCTTGAATGCCAGTTTCAGAAAGTCAAAGTAAGAACTTTCCAAACCTGGGACTATTTTCAAAATGAAAATTGAGAATCAAATCAAATCTTGCTAAATTGAGCCTAGCATACAAATGTATAAAACAGAGGAGAGTTAATTATGTCAGCAGTGCAGTCATGCGACTCGTACCCATAACCACAAAAAAGAGCAGCCCCAGCTCTGAAATTACTGCTATGATAAACATGAACTCTGTCATGTCTAGTTTAATATCAGTAATCAGAGGAAATGGGGAGGCGAGTCGTGGATGAATAACAGACTGAGTCAGTCAAGTGTTAAGGTGGGTTAGTCAACAATTACAACACATTGTTAGAGGTGTGTGGGACTGGTGAGTACTACGAGGGTCAACCAAAGGACAACGTGTGTGTGTGTGTGTGTGTGTGTGTGTGTGTGTGTGTGTGAGTGTGTGTGTGTAGCCTTTATGTGTGTCACTGAACAAAAAAAGACAGATGGATTAAGAAACTCAATGTTCTTCCAGCATGAGTGCTCCAGTGGCAAGCCAAGAACTGCTGATTGCACTACTTTTAGGAGTAAACAGGAACAAAAACAAACACACACACACACACACACACACACACACACACACACACACACACACACTCACAGGGTTTCTATTACTAAACCTCTGAAAACTGTCCAACATTCATTCACTAACCATAACCCTCGCCATGTCCATGCAACACATTCCATATCACAACCTTCAATTTGACCAAATTCTAACCTCAGCTGTCACATGACCTCATGTTACGGTTCAGAGTGGATCAGAATTTGTGTTGTGCCAAATGGTCCTTATTTCTGATCTTCAGAACTGATGATGCTAATGCAGTCACATAGTTTAATTTACCTTAATCCAGCAAATCACAGTAGAATTTACATAAAGCAGCAACAACTGAAAAAAAAATCCTATATTGCCTCACCAACAGTCTTGTGTCAGATACAACAAACTGTCTTAAAGTGATGTTTAAGAAAAAGGATCACAAACAGCAGCAAAGTATCACTGTGTCCACAGAGGACTGGATTCAGTAACGATGGGTAAACTAATTTGACCATCTCTCTACCACACTCTGAAGAAACTAAATCAGTGCTGTTTACTGACATAAGTCTGCATCTTCTGCCTTCTGAAGTGCTTAAATTCAAAGCAACAGCCTCTTGCCACCTCTTGAAATCATGTCCAGCATCAAACATGAACATGACTGAAACACTAGTACCATGTTAATACTTCTAATCCATAGACTGTATAAAAGAAGTGGACGAAGCCATCATGATATCACCCATTGGTTTGTGAACGACCATTTTGAAGTTTCGAGTTTGGCATTTTGGCCATCACCATCTTGGATTTTTGGGGCCTGAGGTAACCATATTTGGAGCAAAGGGTGGAGCTGTAAAGGAGCAAGGGGTGGATTTGACAAATATATTGTGATTGCTGTATTGCCACACCTTTATCCTGATAGATAGGTTGCCCTGGTAGCGACTTGTCAATCACAAGGTAACCACACCCTAACGCATACCCTGTGTTATTGTCCGTTTTACTCTAAATGGGACCATAATTTGCAAAATGAACACCATGCTGTATTGAAGAAGATTCGAAACTAGCAACTTAGACCATAAACCCGTTAGTAAAATGTTTACTGATGGAATAAATCACCTGAGATGTAGGGTCATTTTCTCATAGACTTGTATACAATCAAACCTCTTTTCACAACCAGTCAAGTCGCCCCCTGCTGTCCATTAGAAAGAATGCAGGTTTGAGCCACTTGCACATTGGCTTCACTTTGTAGACTTGATGGCTTCATCTACTTCTTTTATACAGACTTAGCCCAATGTCGATAACCATGCTTACACACCTGGATGTAGAAGGGTATTCCAGCGCTGCGTCGTGTGGCACACAGCTTGGACGAAGGGTCACTGGATTTAACCTCCTCCAGAACCTCAGACAGCCAGCGGGCCGGAAGCTGCTGCAGGGCCTGACTTCCACTCCTTACACACACACACACACATATGCAAATAACAGGGGTTTAAAATCCTTTGAGTGAGTAATTGTACACATATATGCATCGGAGACACGTTTTTAAAAATGACCACAGCTAGTTACATATTAACTTATTACCATTTTTAATATTTTTGTATACAAGTTCAGTCATTTTAGACCTGCTGGCAGCTAAAAACTATTGTTTATGCCTATACAGTGTTGTATACATAACAAAGCAATGGAGCACAATCTGCCATGTTTAATAATATGCATTTGCTGTTTTGTATGTACATATTTAAGATGGACAGTCATGCTCCGCACAATCTCATACACTAAATCCAGTCTGTTTATTCTGACACAAAACTGTCCTGTGGCACACCAAACTTAGATCACACGGCTGCAAATCAGTTTTAATATTTGTTTAAATGTACTTTGCCAACCAGATGGATCTGAAAGTAGGTTTCCATAAAAAATTTGCCATAAAATAGTAATTCCACTAGTGTCAGCTGAATTTTGAACCACAATGTAATGCATTTAATTACCTTTTAAATACTCTGAACTAGTAGTTCCAAAGAAAAATCACCAATCACCTCGTCCACTGAACAGACATGATCCCTATGAAGTCACATCCAAGAACCAGAAATTTATCATGTATCATTAATATGTATCAAATGTTGAACTGTCGGTCTTATGTGTACCTATTTAAAAGTGGTTGACATTAAAGGAAATTCTGGCTCTAAACTTAGAGGCACATTTACACAGTTATTCTGTGGCGTCTGGTACTCTGAGCGTTTTAAGATGAATGCTAAGAATATGATCTGAAGTAGGTCTGGCAAACACACGCCCACAAGAAACAGCTCTGCCCTGTTCTGTAAGAAGCAGCTGTTAAACAAGAGCCGGTGGAGCAGAGAGGACAAATTAAAACAATCCAATGTGGAGGACAGAGCGAGGGCGTCGTGCTGCCACACACACACACTCCAGTGTGCTTCATCAGACACACTTGACACACCAAGGACACCACACAGTCTCACTGACAAACACATGCAGTGTGGTATACACTGTGAACCAGTGGTTTCTACTGGGGGGTTCTCCGACCACAGAGGGTACTTCTTCAATTGCCAGTCATGTAGGGAGACTGTGAAATACCTCAACAAACATTATTTTATTTTTATGTATATATTGAGTGCAACACCTGATGACTGTTGTGAAAACATGTTGAAAATTGGTTTGTAAATAAGAAGAAAATCTGAAATACTTAGCAAAAAGTCATTAAAATTGTTCACTAAAATAATTAAGAAATGGCTGAAACAGCCAGCTTCTGCCACTGTTGTTCAGACTGCCATCACAAATCTGTTTTCGGCGTATCCACATTGTATCCAGATGAAAGTCTGGACAGCGAAGAACCACATGAAACGTGCTTGTTGCAAATCAGATCCAAACCACATTTGGGAAGAGGTCTGAAATGCAACTGTTATCTTATTTCTACAGACGTGTGTCAGTCTGGCGGCTCGAACCACTGAAATCGGATCTCAAAATCTTTTGCACCACAACGTGACACACAATGATGACGTCAAATCCAGAGCGACAGAAGGGTACATAATGCTAAGTTTGTCTGGTGCCACATGTCACTACCCGATCTGCATCGAAACCTGATTTGTTCAGGGCCTATCCCCTGACCAATGGGCTGTCCTGTCCATAACCATTCGATTTTAATGCCTAACCCAGACATCTTCACACATGTAGAACAAATTGGGTTTCTGGTACAGATTGGGCAGCGACCTGACAGAGGAGTTCTGCAATGCGTTTTCACAGTGCAATTGTTAGCAAGGAAAAATGATGCACCTCCAGTTCTAACACTTCGGCGTTGGAAAGTCAAGTCACCAGTGTAGCCACATAGTTTTAAGGCCTACACTGTTAACACAGCAACCAATGCACATAAAGTGCCTTTATTACTTGCCTTTACCCACACAGTCACTATATCCACATTACTGATGATTATTTATCAGAAATCTTATTGTGTAAAAATTTTGTGAAAGCACCAATAGCTGGCTACAATATCACTTCAATATCAATATTGAATTATTTAGTCAATAAAGGGGTACTTGAGTTAATCTGGCAGGACTGTGGGGGTGCATCTGACACAACATGTTGGGAAATAACTGCTGTAAATAACTGCAGATATAAATGCACATGTGTAACCAGGGAACTCAGTGAAAGAGAGACCAAAAAAGAGAAAGCACAGAGATGGAAAAGAAAAGTAAAAAGTGGAAAACTAAAGCAAGAGACACAGAGACACAGTGAGAGAATGCAAACACAGTGGAACACACTAGAGCCAGATCCCAAGGCAGAGCATCAAAAGGCCGTGGTTAAGCACCCCGCAATCAACACCCCATAACCCAGCACACGGCCTGCATACCATCCACACACTGCTCTTCCCCTCCTGAAAACACACACTCACATCCACACATGCCCCGAGCAGAACACACACGCATACTCCCAGTACTCCACACAACCACGAGAATGTTGCCCTCATTACAAAACACACCGCGAGACTGGTTTTTGTACAAGAACAAAACAAGTGAGTTTTGTTTTAACTGCTCAGCACTGGGTGGTTCAAAGTCAACACTGCTGCTGCGACGGTTTTGCGGTTCGTCACCTGCCGCAGGGCCTAAAGAGATCTTCCACAACCCATCATTGAGGAACACAGGGAGGTACAAGAAAGTGAGAAATTCTTTCATGTCTTTCAGAATTAAAAGGTTGTTGTTTTTCCTTCCCCTCAGGAGGATAATAGAAGGATTATTGCTATGAATAGCAGAGGTGATGGGGAGTGCAGAGCTGCATGAGACTTGAGGCACGTTTAATGTTGCCCCTGGCGGCACGTCGCCACAGAGGCCCCATCAGTCTGGTACTGTTCAATGTGCCATTACAGTGCATGAGTAGCTTTGAAATGTAAAGCTAAGCCTCTTTTCTTTCTTTTTTTTATTTAGATATATTTGGTCATAACTCACTCGCACCTCAATGAATCTCACTGGTTTCATTATAAGTACTAAATAATTAGGCTTATTTCTTAAAACTGAAAGATGTTACAGTATCAATATTAAGGATGTCAGTTTCAGTTCATGTTGCCAACAATAGCCCAACACCCATTAACC